AAAAAAAAAAAAAGAAAAAAAAAACTCAGTAAAATCTTTCAGTAAAATTGCTCAGTGAAATGGTATTCCTCTTTCCCTCCCTTTTCTTCCTTTCTGTATCTTCATTTGTAAAATGGGGGAAAATAACAGTATTCATTTCATAGGATTGTTATAAAGATAAATAATACAGACAAAGCACTTAGCATGACACTTAATACCCAATTAACTTTCAATAAATGATAGGTATTAAGATGAATGCGATTTCTTAAAATCAAATAAATAAGGGCCCAAATGATGAGGAGATGGAAGAATAAAAAAAAAAATTTTATTAATACTTTAAACTCTGTAAAATGGCCTTCAGACATAGTCTCTGTGTACTTCAAACTTTGCAGCTTCTAGGAAGGCTATAAATTATAGACATCATCTGGAATATCATAGATGTTTTATCTGTTTTTCTTGGAGAGTCTCACTCTGTCACCCAGGCTGGAATACAGTGCTGCCATCTCAGCTCACTGCAACCTCCACCTCCCAGGTTCAAATGATCCTTCTGCCTCAGCCTCCCAAGTAGCTGGGACTACAGACATGTGCCATCATGCCTGGCTAATTTTTGAATTTTTAGTAGAGATGGGGTTTCACCGTATTGGTCAGGCTGGTCTCGAACTCCTGACCTCAGGTGATCTGCCCACCTCAGCTTCTCAAAGTGCTGGGATTACAGGCATGAGCCACCATACCCAGCCTCATAGATGTTTTTTCTAGAATTTTTCTTGTGAAAGTAATGGAGACAGAGAGAAATCATAATTAACCTTTAAATAAACATACAATGATTCCTCAAATATTGCTATATGTAACTTTCAAAAAAGATCACCTCTCCACGAGTTCTTGTCCATTCCAGCAAAGGGTGTCGTTTTCCGCCACAGGGCTATGGCTGCAGATATAGCCAGGTAAAGCACTATAGAAGCTGATGAAAGATTTCAACTTCTGAATTAGTTCCCTAAAAGAAAAACAAAACATCTGCGCATAAGAGGCAAGTAAACCCAGTATGAGAAAAGTTTAATTTCCTTATCAGCATGACAGAAAGGCTATGCCAGGCTGATTAGAACAATAAATGATTTTTAAAGACATTCTTGGCTAGAAGGCCACAGTTTAGTTCTTCTTTAAAAAAAATCAGTAAAACGATATTAGCAAAAAGTTGCCTGCCATATAAGGTGCTGTTCCTATCAGAAGGATGATTTAATTTCAACATCCATTTTCTAACACGTTCCGCTTCCATTTTGTTGTTGTTGTTCAGAATGCTGTTACCTACATTTCCAAAGGTGCTGATTACAGGGCACACTGGAGCCCTACATATCTTTTGGTTTCTGAATGTAATTGGGTGCATTGATTGTAATTATAATGCTATTACTCTAGAGATGGCCCGTTTCCATGTAGGCTCTGGCTAATGGTTGCAGGTCAGAATTGCAGGGTGCTCAGAACAGTATAAGCTTGACGAAATTCTCCTGGCAATACAGTCAGAGCAACTCACATCTGCCAGAAGAGGGAGGTTTCTTTGTTCTTTGTATATTGTGGCTCCTGTGAGGGAGAGGGAGCGGAGTGGGGGGTGATTCTAGTATATTATATTATTTATTTGCTTTTGTTTTTGGGCTACACATGATAAGACGTGTGTGTGTGTGTGTGTGTGCATGTGTGTGTGAAAGAAAGAGAGAGACAGTGCAAGAGAGAATATATTATATCTGCAATTATATGCAAACACACACATAAATACCAGAATAATTTCAGGTCTATTATCTATTTTGAGATGTACATGGATATACAAAGTAATATGCCTTAGACTGGAAAGAAGTGGATATCTTTAAAAAGAAATGATAAAATATCTATATAATAGATGTGCAGTGTAAGCAAACAAAAATAAAACATATTTTCTTTTCTTTTCTTTTTTTTTTTTTTTGAGATGGAGTTTGACTCTTATTTCCCAGATTGGAGTGCAGTCGCGCAATCTCAGTTCACTGCCACCTCCGCCTCCCGGGTTCAAGTAATTTTCCTGCCTGAGCCTCCCGTGTAGCTGGAATTACAGGCATGTGCCTGGCTAATTTTTTATATTTTTAGTAGAGATGGGGTTTTTCCATGTTGGTGAGGCTGGTCTCGAACTCTGCACCTCAAGTGATCTGCCTGCCTTGGACTCCTAAAGTGCTGGGATTACAGGCATGAGCCACCATGCCCGGCCACTAAAACACAGTTTATTTTCTAAAGCAATGCTACTGATAGAAAATTAAAGTATCCTTCACTTCCAAATATACCTTATGTCTATGCAAAGTTTTGGAGACTCTATTCAGGGAATTTTCTGGCAGTGGAGTAATTATTCAATACTGTCCCCAGACTAAGAATGGACTGGCCTGATATACAGACCTCTATAGGAACCAGAGGCCTGGATATCATTTGGACACTGGTGGAAGTCCTTAGCCCAGAAATGCCTTCTAGGAGTTGTTCTCAGATCTGGCCAAATGAGGAAGACTGGTGAAAATATCCTCTTGTACTTAATCCCCTTCTTATTATTATTATTGCTGTGGTTTAAGATGGTTTGCCCTTACCAAAACTCATGTAGAGGCATGGTCCCAAGGTGGCAGTGTTGGGAGGTTGTGCCTTTAAGAGGTGAAAATGGATTTATGCTTGCCTTGCAAGACTGGGTTCGTTCTCCAGGGAATGCATTGTTCCCAGGAGAGCAGGTTGTTACAAAGTAAGATTGCCTCTCATATTTGTTCTTTTCACTTGTGCTCAGGTCCCTTTCCTTTCCTCCACCATGTTTTCACACAGTATGAGGCCTTCACTTAAAAGCTACCAGATGAGGCCACTCAATCTTGAACTTCCCAGCCTGATAAATAAACCTATTTTCTTTATCAATTACCCAGTCTCAGGAATTCTGTTACAGCAACATAAAACAAACTAGGACAATTAACATAAAACTATTCATTTCAACTAATGATTTAAGTGGTAGGGGAGGGAGAGAGAGGGCTGTTAGCACAGGTTCACAAAGGCTTGGGCCACAGCAAAGTCAACGTGATGGACAGAACAACTCAAGTAAGGTTATTGGGACATAGACAACTTCTGATACCCCACAAGTTGCTTGCTGTTATGCCTGTACCCCCCACCTCACAGCCTACCCCTGGTGTCTGAGTACCATCAATCTCCAAAGAGAAGAGGCTCAACACAGAACTCTGAAAATAAAAGTCATCGTTATAGTCTCTAATAGAGGAAAAAGATGGGTTCAATTAACAGCTAATAGGAGAGATGCTCATTTTACAAGGTAATAATACAGTTCTCAAAAGTGGAAGCTGAAAGAGTAAAGGCTGAGTCTGAGTAATTCCCCCTGCCCATTCCATAAGGAAATGGACTATGGCCATTAGTCTGTGGTAAACAAGGGCCCTCTCTTAAGGAAAGAATTTCCCTTAGGCCTCCCCCTACCTCCAAATTCCCTCTCACTAACATAGCACATGGCAAGAAAAATTGAACCCATGGTAACACCTTCTAATTTGATTTCCATAGAAGTTAAAAAAAAAAAAAACACCCTGAACTTCTCCCAACCCTTGCAGTTTTCTTGGTGGATCATAAAGATCAATGACAATTTGAAGGACATCCAGATGAGGTTTGATCTAACTGTCAAGGGTATGAGGGGCTGCAATAAACATAAGACCTCTCATTTTAGTATAGAAAGATATTACCTGGAAGGGTCAACACAAAAGTCTCAGAAAACCACAAAGAATGTGAACATATTAGTCTATTCTCACACTGCTATGAAGAAATACCTGAGACTGGATAATTTATAAAGAAAAGAGGTTTAATTGACTCATAGCTCTGCATGGCTGGGGAGGCCTCAGGAAACACACAATCATGGCAGAAGGGGAAGCAAGCATGTCCTTCTTCACATGGCGGCAGGAAGGAGAAAAATAAGTGCCCAGCAAAGGGGGAAGCCCCTTAGGTAACCATCAGACCTTGTGAAAGCTAACTATCATGAGACCAGGATGGGGAAACCACCCCCATGATTCAATTATCTCCACCTGGTCCCTCCCATGACATATGGAGATTATGGGAACTAAATTCAAGATAAGATTTGAGTGGTGACACAGCCAAACCGTATCAGTGAATAGTATGAACACGGTCTGGGTTATCATGTTCTAGAACTCAGGAAATCTCTTTGAAAGTTGAACAAGGTAACTTGGAAAAATAAAAGGTTATCCTACTTTATTAACTTCACAGGGCATGTGGGATAGACATAGAAAGAGACTGTGTTTTAAAAACTTACTTTTGAATTAGTTATTTTGAATTTAGAACACAGTTTTATTTTGCAACCATGTTAGAATGATTCGGTTCTCAGAACAGCCCCTTCAAACCTGTTGTGAGTAGTAGCTAAAAGCACTGATTATGGACTCTGACTCAGCTGAGTTTCAAATGTCAGCTATGCCCTCACTTACTGAGCAGTGAAATCTTAGGCAAATTCTAAACTTCTCTGACCTTTAGTTTCCTTATTTGTAAAATGAAGATAATTATGGTACCTATCCTGCAGGGTTACTGTGATGATTAAATGAGAAAATGCATGTAAAGTATTTAGCATAGTACCTGCAGAATTAAGCACAGAGTAATCACTCTACAATGTTAGTCATTGTCAATATTACTATTATCATGAATCTGTACAATAGAATATATCACTGATACTGTTTGGCTGTGTACCCACCCAAATCTCATCTTGAATTGTAGCTCCCATAATTCCCATGTGTTATGGGAGGGATCTAGTTGGAGATAACTGAATCATGAAGGTGGTTTCCCCCATACTGTTCTTGTGGTAGTGAATAAGTCTCACAAGATCTGATGGTTTTATAAGGGGTTTCCCCTTTTGCTTGGCTCTCATTCTCACTTGCCTGCCACCACATAAGATGTGCCTTTTGCCTTCCACCATGATTGTGAGGCCTCCCCAGCCATGTGGAACTGTGAGCCTATTAAACCTCTTTCCTTTATAAATTATCCAGTCTTGGTTATGTCTTTATCAGCAGTGTGAAAATGGACCAATACGGTCACATTTATGAAATACATATATTATATTCCGGATAAATTTATGTATGCCAGATAATTAAAAATTTTTCAAGTTCCACGTAATTTTATGTGCAATGAAATAATTAAAATCCTTTATTTTTTGAGGTGGATATTAATAAGTACAACCATTGTCTCTTTCAACAGATTTTTCCTGGTGTTCTTCTTAAACTAGTTAGCTACTGGGGTGGGTAATCCTTTTGACTAATTTGGTATAGCAAATGTTCAGAATAGGCAAATATATAGAGATATACAGTAGATTAGTGGTTGCTTAAGACTGGGGAGATGAAGGTTGGGGAATGATAGCTAAAGAGTACAGAGTTTTTTCCTGAGGTGATGAAAATGTTCCAAAATCGATTGTGATGATGGTTGTACAACTCTGTGGATATACTACAAACAATTGAATTATACACTTTAAATGGATAGATTGTATGGTATGTGGATTAAATCTCAATAAAGTTGTTACCCCTGCCCCTCAACAGAAAGGGTAGAGAAGAGGTAAGAAATATATTTTAGAGAAAGAGAGGCTTTTCTACTATGGGGAGGGATGCCCCTTGGAAGAATAAAAGGAGACAGGGAGGAGAGTTGGGAAAAGCCAGGTTGGATGCAAATAGAATAAACACATAGGCAAGAGATGAAAAGGGAAATGTGTAAGAGCTGCAGCTTCCGCACTGCAACAGCTGTAAACAGTTCAAATATATTTCTTCCTCCATCTTCTAAAATAAAGTCTTTTGCCTTTCTTTCTCATTGTAAAAGAAATACATGCTCACTACAGAGAATTTAGAAAATAAAGAAAGACAGAAAGGGAAAAAAATTCATTGTCCCACCAGCCACAGATAACTAGTTAATATTCAATATATTTTCTTCTAGATTTTTCTCGAGTAAATTTTTACACTTATTTCTCTAAAACACTTA